GAATCTTCAGCAAAAGACACGCTGCCAAACGCCTAAAACCCGCCGCTCCTCTGCACCCGGCTCACTCCAGCCTGACCGTACTGGAGTTATCGCGTGGCTCAGTGCAATCAATTATTGTTGCAGTGGAATCATTAATAATTTCCTAATGAAAACGATTCTGTTGATCTGTTGTCTTTTAATTAAACATAATTAGTCGGCGGCTCGGAGCTGTGGTGGGGACTCCTTTAGGGTACAATTTTGTTTTAATACACTGATAATGAAATTTTTACATTGTGTCAGTTGTTTAGTTATTATTCAGTCACACTATTTCGCTATGTTCCCAGATAACAGATAATAACCCCTCGCACCTCCTATTCGCCACAGTCATTTCGAAAGAGGAGGGTTAAAATGAACAATTACATTTTGAACTGTAAGAGTCCTCTCCTCTCGCTGTTTCATGCCTTTACGGTTTCATTTCTAGTGGGAAAAACACTCAAAAAGCTAATTGTAATCTGGTTTTATTATTATTATTTGAAAAAGAGTCAAATAGATACTACATCTGTCCATGCAGGTCATGCTAGTTCATGCTATGCCTCAGAGGTCTGGAGCTCTGGAGCAGTGGAAGGAGGTATAAAAAAAGGATCTGATTGTGAGGACTTAGAGAATATGAAATAGTACAAAGACACAGCGACTTGGCTAATTCGGCACAGTCCGGGCTTATGTAAAAACGGCCTAGTTACATTGGTCAATTTCTGCACGAACAATGGGATAAGTTGCTCTGGAGACTTATTGGACATGCTTTATCTGAATGTGGTCTGGCTTAAGAGGCTTACATTTGAAAAGTTTAGGTGACCTCTGAATAATGCCACATAATGTAGTCACATTCACTGTGTATAGTTTCAATGGGCTCTGATATCAGGTGACAATGGGGGTAAGCACAATGAGAGCTCGCACTGAGGATGAATGAAGTCATGTATTGTACTTTAGACCTAAAAATGACACTTCAACCGTGCACTCAGATCTGATTGTGTTTGATTCCAGCCAGTTATAGAGTAGAGAGGTTTTATCTAAGGGGAATGTAAAATACTGCAGGAATTTATAATGTCTTCAATCATTTTGTGTTGAAAGACAATTATGCTTTGCGTTAAGATTCGCTGGATTTTTTTAAATGCACACATTTCAATGTGTAAGGTGGTGATATTCTGGATTTTTGTTAACTAATCCTATATAAAAGATGTACAAAGTCAACTAATGAGTAGGGCTGGGCAATACAACATTAATATATCAATATTGTAGTATGACGAGATAACTGTATTTGTAATATTGTAATATAGCTTCATTCTTGGTATTTATAAACAATAAGAGAAATGTGTGGGAGAGAAACTTTGGGATTTTAGCCTTTGCAGACTCTTCAGGAGAATAATAGGACCTCCTTAAGACCAGATATATCCTTTAAAAGCTGGACTTGCATCATGGGCATGGTCAAATTTGCTGAAATTATTCCAATCAAGCAGGTCTGCAGCCTTTAAACAAAGACACTGTAGCGCGTTCAACTGGAAGAGAGGAGAACAAATATCAAAATGGCGCTGAATTTCTTTTTTTTCGGACAAACTGCTCCTACTTTCCAGCTGCATTGTTTATCAATCTGTTGTTGAATTCTCTACAGGTTTCTATCTGTCATTCTTCCTTCCTTCTCTCTACCTCCACCTTTTCAGTCTCCAGCGTTACTGTAACACATAATTACTCTGCAGACTTGCCGCCTGTTTCTATAACTTCAGGGGTTCAAAGAAGCTGTCGGAGTGTGGAGGAGAGCATTGTGGGAGTTCCAGGTGGATTTCTCGATAATGAGTTAGTGCGGTAGTACAGTTGAGAGTTTTAGTAATGGCTCGCTGCTAAGGCTCTTCCTCTGAGTTTTAATGTAAAACAAACAGGGCCGTGCTGACAGCCTGGGAAAAACAGATACTGCACTTTTCCACTTCCTCTTCAGGGCTACTCATTTTAAGAATTAAAAGAAGAATTTATAGTCATGAAACGGCGCTGTGCATCCTAATTTGGGATATTTAAATACCTCTCTGGGGCTTCTCATTTCTATAAATGGGTATAATGTGCAATACTTTCTGGATAACATGACACAGAACAGATTATCAGGAGGAGATGAGTTCTCTGGTAGGTTTGTAGGATCCCAAAAATAGGTACGGAATTTATATTTGACACTGTAGGGTTAGCTTGATGACCAGAGGCGCCCTGTGGGGGCCCTGAACACACCTCCCTGCTGCTTGTTACACACTCCACTGCATGTATTATACATAACAGCCTCCTGGAACACGACTCTCAGAGGAATCAGTTTGCTGAATCCTGTCCTCTCCACATATTTCTCCCTGAATGACAAGTTTCGGGGATTGTGCAGAAATGTAATGCAGAAATCACAGACAGAACAGCCCAACAGTAAGCTACAGCCACTCAAACCAATCACCGGTCCTTACTTAGAGATACTCCCCCATAGATTCACTCTGGCGTGCATCCAAAGAGAGCTGCCACTATCTTTGCAGGCAGCCTTAAAGAAGACCAGTGAAAGGTAAGCCAAAGCATATTCTGCGAGCATACTGTGTATTGAGATATTCACTGTTTTCCATAAGTAACCAGGGAGCAATGTAGCAGCCTGCAGCCCTGGGGTGAAGATATAAACAATCTGGGCTGAAGCTCCGAGAGGCGGGAAGAAAGTTTTCTGTCGGACTCTTAGGAGCTTTTGCCAGTGTCGACACGATAAACACAACTCAAGCGCCGCTTCAAAGCGGAAGTGGAATTGAATTTAACAAAGATTTGATATTTGCAGCAGACTCAGAAGTTCATTTTCAATGTCACCTCCAGAGGCGGCCCACACATGCAGATCGTAATGTTTGAAAGGGCGCTGAAGAAGAATGAATGGAGTGAATCATTGTGGACACAAGAGTCAAACGGCTGAACAGCATCAAACACTTTCTGAACTTACTCCAAGTCCACCTGAAATGGGAAAAAAAGTTGACAGGAGCTAAAATGTTGAAAAATGTGGGATAGAGCGCAGAGAAAAAACGGGCACCAAACCAATTTATCTAAAGCTTTGCGGTAAAGTTGCTACAAAGCTGAGTCAAGTATGGAATCACACAGTATCATTCTTTCCCCCTGGTTGTATCATCATGTATTACATTTTTTATATTAATTGTAGCATTCATTTTAAAGGGGCTCTATTATGCTCATATTTGTATTTTGTGCCTCTACTGTGACATATTTCCATACTTTAATGTTCAAAAAACCTCTTTTAACCCTCTGTCTGAAACCAGAGCTCAGTCTGCTCTAATTGGTTAGCAAGTCGACTGTTTTGTGATTGGTCAACCACTTAGAGATGTCCCGCCACTTAGCCTATCACCAACAATGTGTCTGAGCGCGAGCCAATAGAAGTGCAAGTGTTACGTAGTGATGTTATAATGTTTAAGAATGATTAACCTTATAAATATTCTATTACTATAGAAACATTTACAGAAATCAATTGTGTTTAATGTGTACTATACATTTTTTTTGCTTAGCAATGGTACAACTACTGTATGAGATGACCGGAGATATTAAACTTCTACTCCGAGATTTAAATTAAATGAATTCTTCTTTGTATGCGTGCGAAGATCCTTGTGGGGGATTTACTGTAATGAACTTATGCAGTACAACACAGAACAACTCTCACAAGGGGACGTCTGGAGATGTTATTGTGAATAATTGAATAAGGTCAAACTGAAAGTGACAAACAAAGGAGCTGCCAGTGATATGCAGCTGAGGTGATGATGCTGCATGTGATGTTATCTCCAGCGTATGAAGAGTGGAGGAAATTCTTCTTCTTCTTCAAAAGAAAAAAGAGAAATCCTGTTATTGCCCGTTTTTCTTGTCTCATACAGTCCGTGTGTGAGCAGGAAGATTAGAAGATTTTAAAGAAGTGCATAATCTTCTTTCAGAGCTTATCAAAACTTTAATGATTTGGTGATAAAGAGCACAAAGTTAAGTAGCCGGTTAAGAGGATAACTCCACAGTGCAGTCTAGTGATTAGTAGATGAGAATTGGGAGACTGAAAATCCGGGGTTGCAAATCCCACTCCTGCCACTTATTCACTTTGAGGGAGAAGAAGCTCCATTTCAGCTTTGGGGGGGTATTGTCACAGGGTAATCATTTTTTGAAAAGTGATAAATGGAACCCCCTTTTTCCCTTCAGCCTTTTTGGAATCCAAAACACATCTTTATTTATTTTGCTGTGTCTCTTTGGTTAACACCCGTCAAGACCCAATTATAGCTGCAGAAGCCTTGTGCTTTCATGGGAAGTGAAGCTACACACACTGCAGTGACAGGGCTGTGTGCATCTCTGCAATCTGCAACAAACCTCTACAGATCCATGTTGGGCCATCTTTTAATGAGGGTTTGCCGGACACAATGCGGCAGATTGAGGAGTTTATCGTAATGACAGCGGGTCATTTGTGCTTTAAGGCTGAAGGCTGGATAAACAACAGGGATTTTCCTGACAGATATGATGATATTCCCTTCCACTTATTTACATAAATCCATTCCTGAATGTCTGATTTATGAAAGATGTAAAGATAAAGCTCTGCTGAATTAGCGAGGGAACAAATGAAGAGAGCCCATCTCCACAACTTTGCTATCTGCACCGAGATAGGGATTCACTTAGTATAAAAGAGAAGGGAAAAAAGGGGGGCATTAATTACCTTGTGAAATCTAAAGACCATTAACTTTGTGTGTCAAGTGATGTTTCTCAGTTCCTAATCAGAGTTTTAGTGATATAAATTGCTCTTTGGAGTAAAACAGATATGGTGTGAGGCTTTTTTGTGTGTCCTTGCAGCTCTAATTATTTGTGTGTGACTTTGAGAAGCAAAAGGAGAAAGTAAAAAGGGAGACAGATGGAGAGAGTGGAGAGGATGGAGGATTGTCTTTGCTGCCGTGGCGTGGTGTGTTGCGCCGCGGAGAGATAACAGGATGCCGCCGCTTGCTTACCTTTGCAGTACACCACACAGTTGTTTTTGTTGTCTTCCGCTCCCTGCCAAGTCACATCCAGCAGCCACCTGGGGCCGGCGCTCAGCACCACCGGGACCGTGCTCTTCGTCTTCTGGACGGGGACAGATAACACACACTAATCATTTGCTTATTTTGGTGATTAAAGAAACATTAATAACCACTGAGTTACGCTCTTCCAGGCTCTGAATGGCCACAAACAGACCATTTCAGAAAGTATACACCATGCATCGCCTTTTTTTTTACAGGGAGGATTTGAGAATCAGGGAAGGCTTTGTGTGTGTGTGTGTGTGTGTGTGTGTGTGTGTGTGTGTGTGTGTGTGTGTGTGTGTGTGTGTGTGTGTGTGCGTGCGTGCGTGCGTGCGTGCGTGCGTGCGTGCGTGCGTGCGTGCGTGCGTGCGTGTGTGTGTGTGTGTGTGTGTGTGTGTGTGTGTGTGTGTGTGTGCGTGCGTGTGTGTGTGTGTGTGTGTGTGCGGTATAGTAGTTGGAGTGTGGAAAAACGGGTGTATCAAAGAGGGGGAATAACAATCCAGGATTTATTAATCATGAGATCTCTTAGATTAACTTCTTATTATCCTGAAAAAAGTCAGAAATCATTCGGTCATTTTGGTGATTAAAGAAACATTAATAACCACTGAGTTACGCTCTGAATGGCCATACACAGACACTTTCAGGAAGTATACAACCCAAGTCCCCCTTTTCCTTTTGAGAATCAGGAAAGGTTTTGAGAGAGTGTGTGTGCTGTACATGTAACATGGTGACAAACGGGTATATCAAAAAGGACGAAACCCAATCCAGGATTCATCATGAGATCTCCTAGATCAACTTCTAAGGTGTCTGGGAATTATGAAAAAAGGAAAGAAAGAAGGAAGAAAAAGCTGGTGACTTTCAGAGAGAGGGAAGCGAGTGTTCAGCGGTGAACTTTGGGCGCATTGTGCCTTGCTATCGCCAGGATCTCACTATTTCCTGAAACAAGCAGGGAAGAATTTAAAGAATCAGTATCCATTTCAAAGGCCAATTGAGGTTAGGGTTTTTATAATATGCCTAAAAAAATTATTCTGAATGTGTAAGGTCATTTTTCTCCTTGGTCAGAGGTCAAACGTGGTGTTTTATCCCCTTCGGAAAGGAATAAAATAAAAGAGGGAGATAGAGTGCAAGGTCCAGCACAGTAAACTCACATGCTGCAGTGTCACAGAATGGTCGTTCTCTATTCATCCTCATGATTTGGTTTTATTTTGGTGTTGCAAATTGGTGATGTTGTGGGGCTGGTGGGTACATCTTACTCAAAGGCAAAATCTCAGTATTTCAAGGCCATTACTTTTGAACCCCGGGGCCCTCCTTCATTAGGGTGTTACAGAAATAGTTTAGCTACGAGAAAATGGGTTGGGGTGCAATCTTTATTTCTTTTTTCCATCTGAGGCAGGCAGCGACAGGACGCTGTCCATCTGCCTAATGCAACAGAAAAATACTAGTCCTCTCTGGCGCTTTTCACTTATTGCTCCCCCGCAAAAGGCAACAACCTTCAAGGATAAATGCAAATGTCACTTGAGCATGTTAAAGGTCTGAATTGGCACCGATATGCACAAGAGATGAGCACTGTGCTCCGGCAGTGCCCCCTCCTCCTCTTCCTCCTCCTCCTCCTCCTCCTCCCCCTCATGCAGCCCATTTCTCTTTTTCATGAACTCTATCTTGTCTATGGCTGGAGGACTTAATTTTTTTTGCATTATTTACAAAAACATCTCTGTGAGATAGCAATCTGTTTTGATGTTGTGTGCAAATGAAGGCAACAAATGCAGACGCTAAATAAAGACAGATTTCTACACATAAATATCTATATCTATACATAGCAGTGCACATTGGCAAGCGTCGCTGCCAAACTGATCAAACACAGACAGTAAATTGTGTCTGTTGATATTCTTATTCCTTCTCCTGGCATCTTCTTATCCCGCCCTGGCAGCAGATGAGACGGAGAGGGGACCTCTATAATTTAAGTCATCCTCCATTTCACATTTCAAATTAGCCTCACAATAAAGTCTTCTATCTGGCTAACCTGAAAATCTCACACCCCTGTCAAAGGAGCAGAGCAGACCAGGCCGATTGTTGCTAGGACGACTATCTGAAATGGGAATCAGATTAACCCTTCCTTAGATCTGCAGACTGGAGCCATCTCTTATTCAGCAGCGAGAGGCCTCTCCGCCGTCCCTCTGAGCCTCTGGGAATTCATGATATTCCAGCTGCTCTTAATGTAGCCAACAGGGACAAAACACCACACTAACCACACATCTTCCCATTGTTAGAGTGTGTTAGAAATCATTACAGCAATCACAATTGTTCCTTTGCTGAGAAAGAAACTTTAAAAAATGCATATTATGTATTATTTTTGATGTAATTGTTAATAGTTTTTTTTGTTGTGAACAACAGCAACAACCCATGACAGCGCCTCAGTGCAGCAGATTTACATAATGCATCGATCGTGACAATGGTGGCCTATGTGCTTTGTAAGAATGCTGCATGTACCAGACGTCACTCAGACAAAGAAATGCAGAAAGCACACAACATATTAGGGATTAAGACACAGAGTGGCATCAGTGCAGGGGCGGGGGCTCTGCGAATGCAAATGGAAACATTTGTACAACCGGATCAGTTGGCCTAAGTGGCCGCGGCCAGGAGAAATGCAGACTGACAAGCAGAACATTTATTTCCCTGCAGCGGGGAGGATAAACAAACTCCTCTTCACGAGCAGGGGGATGTGACGTATGGAAGCTCTTTCCTGCCTTACACAGTACTGAGAGCGAGTTTGTAAAATATGCTGACCCCTATTGGATGTTAAATATGCCACAAATCTGTGTAAATGTCTGAATAACACTGAATATATTCCTGATTTGAACACATCTTTAGGTATTTTGACAGGTATTCAAATAAAGAGATATTAGAAGAAAGACTACTTTGAATGGGTAAGAAAAATAAGTAAAACATTTTACAATGAAACTTCATGTTACTTACATTAAGAAAATATATTTGTATATTGCCTGTTTTCTGAAATATTATGTTTGAATATGCAAAGGAGGTTTAATGTTTAATATAGTAAACTTACAACCAGCCACAAAAAGACAACATAAAAAATGAAAACAACATAAATATGTATTTTAGCTGTTTTCTAAGCACTGTTCTGAAGAAGACTTGTTAAGCCACAAACATGAAATAAAAAAATGTACCAGTGCAAACATGCAAAGTAGGCATTATCTGATTAATAATTATGGTGACTTTAAGATAAATCTATACACACACAAAGACAAAGTTGTTAAAAAAAACAAATAACATTTCTATTTTGGATGTTTTCTTTCCACCTATCTGAATGAAGACATGTAAGCAAAACATTTCCAGATGTCTCAAAATGGACCAGAGCATGAAAAAGGCCCTGACATGTTTTTTTCCTGTAGTCTCTGGCCTTAGAGAACAAGTATATATGAGTTTAGTTTATAGAGATACAGTGTTTAATATCAGTTGCCACACTATCATCCCTGTCAGAGCCTGTAAAAATACTCCTCTGGCCTTCCTGTCTGTGTACTGTGTTACGGTTTATCCACCCTCTGCCTTCACTCCACTGGTTTCAATACCCTGCCGCTATTTCTATTATTTTTTTCTGAGCTGTGTTACCGTTGCTCGTGTAAGAGATACAGTGACCAAAACAGTGTAGTCAGCGAGGAAGTGATTACAAACTGATGCTCCAAATTCGCTATAAAATGAAAATCAATATTTCCACAAGTTGCTGCAACATAAAAGATAACCTTCATTGATTTTTCTAGACTTAGGCCTCTGTGATAAAATCTAATATAAATTTTCAGCCACACGGATTTGGATCAGAGCGGAGCAGAGGCTGAACGATAAGTTCCGCGCACATCTCTCAGAGTTGGATTTTTTCTCCCTCCCCCTTTTCCCTCTTCCAAGGCAGGGCTGTACTATTTATAATTGGCCCTGTGTGAGCAAAAGCTTCTATCAGGAATCTGTTCTAATTTTTATTACTGAGAAGCTAAAGCCTGTTCCAGATAATTTGGAAATTTCAGGGGAATTGTGATAGAGCTGATGGCACAGCCGGACTGACTCCAGAAAGGAGCTAACCTGTAATAGCCTCTGTGGCTGCGCTGATTAAATGTTGCCATAGATGAAAGACCTGCCATCACCGCAATAAATTAACCAATCACACAAATCCCAAGTCGCTACTAATCCCTCCTTGATACCATGATCCTCTGATCAGCTGAAGGAGGTGAAGAAGAAAGTGGCTTGTGACACTCAGCCTTCCTCTAACTCCCTGCTTCCCTGTGTAAACAACAAGCTAATGATATCACTGCTGACCATTTCACCACCACTGGCTACTCTTAACCCGCTTCATGGTCAGGGCAGGTGAAATCGATACGGACCTTGGTGGGAATGATTATTTTCCTCATGGCTTTTTTTCTTCTTCCCCCCACCAAGGTCACTGACTGGCACTGTGTCCGTCTTGATCCCACAGCTGCAGGATTTAGACAACTGGGAGATCAAAACCACTCCGTCTGAATATCTCAACATGTTCGTTGGCTTTATATATCAAGCTTTCAACATCCACTCGGTATAAAGAAGTTCTTTTTTTAGACAAAAACACAATTAGAATTATGTTACATCTTTTCAATATTGCATTATTTTTGTGTTTCCAAATAAAGCATTAGTTTTGACAATTGATTTACAGAAACCCTAACCCTAATGTGGCATAGTCATTTATTCAACTTCAAACATAATGTTGTTAAATTAGATTACATGTAAAGTTGAATGCTTGTTACATATACAAAGCTTTCTTTCTTTTTTTTGTTTTCTTTCGACAAATACACTTGAATTCCATCCCCTACATTACATTTGACCCCGTGTTAGCATGGTCACAAACAATTTGAAAGCGCCATGTCCTTTCAGATGATACCAGCCGTAGAAAACAAGCTTATGTATTGGGTTATGTCAAGTCTATATGTTCTCTGTTTCTAACATGGGAGTGAGGATAAAGGATTTGTACCTGTTTTACCAGTCAGTTTACAGCAGACAGCACACTCACACCTTGATAACGTCCAT